GGGTGTCAGATCAACAAATCTCTGCCAAGAACAAGTATGACTTCTCGAAAACTGCTGCTGAACTCGCTTCCCCCTATGCACATGCTTTGTGAGGGCCCTGCTGTCCCTTTAACCAGAGCCAGCTGGCCTGGCCCAACCCTCCCTCCTTCCTCCCCTGTAGATTCCATAGCAAACACACGGCCTTGACTACATTTAAAAGGTCTGCTGGTAGAGAGACATGAGCAAACCCCTCGAGGGGAGATGCTACTTAAATACAGCAAAAGTTTTTAAACCAGTTCCCCAAACAATAAGTAATACCAATAAAAGGGTTTTTTAAATTGTATATTTGCAGCTACACTAGGGCATTTGGCAGCACAGGGCTGCCCAGAGGGTGGGGCAATTTGCCCCGGGCCCCACAGGGGGCCTGGCCAAGAATCCCTTCCCTGGCTCGAGGCGCCTTTATTAATTTTTACTCGCCCGGCAGCAGTCCGGGTCTTCGGCGGCGGGGGGCCCTTCAGTGCTGCCGAAGACGCGGAGCGAGTGAAGAACCCGCTGCCGCAGACTCGGAGCGCCACCCAGTGAATACAAGCACCGCAGTGGGTGGTGCCTTTTTTTATGTCCACTCCCCCGCTTTGCCCCAGGCCCCCCGAATCCCCTGTTGCAGCCCACCTGTGTCACTTAAGAGGTGTGATTTGTTTCCATGGGTAACAGACAGACCCCAGCCATCGGCAGCATCAAACTAGGGACCTCTCGAGCTTAGGGCATGAGTCTCTACTGCATGAGCTGCAAGCCAACTGGCTGTTAGCTACGGCTGTAGCAGACTCCTTTTATCTCTAAGTGGTCTTGGTGCCACTAGATGGGACAGAGCCCCACCCCCAGACGGTGTGTGGGTTACACATGCTCCTAGCTGACATAGCTTTGCTGCCAGAACTTAAGTGCAGCCCAGGCGTTAGTGAAAACCACTATAGTGGTGCAGCTGGAAAGCAGCCATAGGTGAAGGGCTCTTGCATGCTCTGAAATCAACTCATCTCTGCTATTGCAGTCATGTGCTTCTGGCGCCCCTAACATCCCTCAACACTGGCATCCAAGTAAGCTTGTCTCCACTGCAATAGACCATAACAGAGGGAATCCTCGACTCTCCTACGCCTGCTTAAAACGTGCATTTTCCTAAACCAATAGTGGAGCAGAACATACTGACGCTCAAAGTTACCTGGGCCTGCACACTGTGCTGATGGGAGTGGTCCGCTGCTGGTAGCTGTCTGCGATCACAGTGTCATCCTTACAGCTGCAACAAGTGTTGTCTAGCATCTGTAAGTGGAGCAGCTCCTCCGAGTTGCTGAAAGCTGGGTTGTCCAAAGAATTAGCAGAGGCGAGCCAAGAGTGAGACCAGTACTGAGCTGACACGTCATCAAGGCGACAAAACCGTCGGTAGCTGCAAGAACAAGGCAGGACTGTACTAGAGCAGTTCCTAAAGCAACGCTCGTGGATCACTGGTACAAGCCAGTCATTTTAGCGCAGGGCCTTAACAGCCGCTCCCATAAGGCAGCTGCACAGGAGAAAGTAAGAACTCTGCCACCTGATGTGCTTGGTACTGTTTAAAGTGGTGTCTAGTCCTGGGAGAAAGGGCAGCAAAGGGACGTAAGGGCTTGGCTGCACGTCACTCGGCGTGACTGTGAAGCACACGAGCTGTTTCCGACCAAGCCCATGCAGGGACATTCTTGTTCTGGAATAAGAGTGCCGTGTTCCTGCTTTCTTAACCCCACTTCCACGTGGGTTAAGCAGAAGCTGGGCAGACAAGCCCGAAGACGGCTGCATCTACCTGCCAGCCCAGGGGTTCCAGTCTCTGGCACTAGTTTAAAAGGAAAGGGAAGGGCTTTTATCGGCCAGGAGCAGGGTTTAGGCTGCTACGTGGCCTCCAAACAGTTTGTGAACTGTGCACAATGCTCCCTGCACACCTGTTGGGTTGCAGCTTGGGGTGGTAAGATGCTTATCCCACATCTACTGAGTGAGCAGGCTCTGCCCAGTGTTCATAGACACCCTCCCTCCCCCCACGTCTAATGTGGAGCTAATGATGGGGCCAGGGCCCTAGTTAAAGCCCAAGGAAGTATTTTGCATGACACCCAACAAAGGCAGATCCTTGCGCTGTAACAAGTCCACTGCCATTCACGCCAGAAACCTCCTGGTAGTGGGTAGCTCTGCTTGCGCCGGGCAGAAAACAGTTCTGTAGCTGAAGGTTTTTTCCAAGCCATTGAAGTAAACATGGGTCAGTGAAAGCTGAACTCTGGGGCCCTAGCACTGCCTGCAGAAACATCTGCCTTTTAACTCCCTCCCCAGCCCCAGTATTCCCCTCTGCTTCCTACAGCCATGTGTCCTCGCCAGGCACTTTGGCAAGCGTTTCCCCTCTGCTCCAAGTCTCACACCCTCTAGCCTGGGGTGGGGCACGGTCTGTAAGGACAAATAACCTCAGATGGCAAGCGGCCTGCTGCTGTTGTGGTTTGTTTCCTTGGGAACAAGTCTCCTCCCCCCCCCCTTACTGAAGAAGACCAGGCAGGTCAGTGGAGCACTGAGGCATGTCACACTACAGAGAGGGCAGCACTAGCCAACCGGCCTTCGCCAGGCTGTGTACAACACTGACCAATCGCCACAGGCTGGCTCTGCCTTCGGCTGTGCACCAGCAGTGCTGCCGGCTGCGCTGCGAGAGAAATGGGGATGGTTTGCCTTCCAGCATGGTGGTGATGCCGCGCAGCGGGGGCTTTAGAGTGTCTTCCAGCAGCCTGCCTCTTGCTCTTGGGTGGTGGGTCCTAGCCCTTTGCACACGGAGCATGGAGGATTCAGTCCCCTGTTGCCCCCCAGCCTGCCCCCAACACCTTCCAGCACACGTGCTGGCTCAGAGGCCGGGCCCTGGGACACGCGGGACTTGTTTACGCTGCTGCCCAGGGGTACAAATGTGCTTGCGGGGGGGAGTAGGGTTGTTAGTGTCACAGAGAGGGGCTCATAAGGATATTTCCACTTGGGGGGAGGGAAAGGTGTTGGCATATACCCCCTGCTGGCCTCCTGCCTGCACAGACAAGGAGGCTGCGGCCCTGCCCCACCCACACGCTGCAGCCTGCCCAGCTCCCTCGTCACAGGGCGTGAGGCTGGACGTTCCCCCCAGCATCATCCAGCAGCTGCTGCCCCAGCCATCCCCTTGCCCGGGCCTCCAGGTCTGAGGCCAAAGCCGGGGGGTGTTTGAGGTGAGCAGGCCGGGCCGCAGCAGCTCAGCCTTCCTCCATGGGCTGCCCAGAGCTGGCCGCAGGGATCGATGTAACGGCCAGGCCTGTTCCCACCCATTCAGGGCCCCCTGCCCGGGAACGTCACTGGGAGACATTCTTCACGGCTGCTGCTTTGGGGCCACCCCAGAGTGCTGAGGCCCTGCCACTCACAGAAACCCTCCAGCTGCGCTAGCCTCCATCCCGCCCCCCCCCCCCCGGCCATTCTTTTTTTTTAAATGTGCCCATCCCCCTCCTGGATGCACTCACTGGATCACTTGCTGGCAGCTTCAGTTAAAAAATCACTGATTGCCTCCTCTCTGGCGCCAAACCCCGCTCCCCCCATGCTGCCTGGGGAGGGGGCGCACCAACCCAGCGTGGCACTATGCGAGAGCCACGCTGCTGCCTTTCAGGCCATGCTACATCAGAGCCAGAGGTCAGCGGCTTTGGTGCCCTGTCGCCAACCCCACCTAATGCCAGCTGGTGCAGAGACGAACTGCAGGGCAGCGCTACTGGATGGTGGCCGTAGGAGACTGCACCTTCATCCCGCCTGCGTTTGCAATGGGGAGGAGGAGGTTTTATATCCCTGCCAAAACTTTATGGGGGTTATTTTATTAATTTTTAATGCTGAATATTTTCATTCTCTCTCGAACACTCCTTTCACTCCTGCTGTGCTCAGGACCTCAATCTCTTGTGCCAGTGAGGTCCACAGGCTCACTATGCGTGGTAGGCCAAGTTGTTCCTTTTTCTTCAGTTTTGAATTTCCCACTCTTGCGTGTCCCTGAACATCCCAGTGACATTCTTTCGTCTGTAAACATTTGGCATGTCCCTCTGATTCATTTCCTCTCTGCGCTAAAAAAGTCCCCCAGAGCAGCCGGTAGCCAGGCCCCTCTGCACTCCCCCACCACGGCTCAGAAGCCAGGCGACCCCTGGCAATGGCTGATGGACAGCACGTTGGAGCGGTGCAGCCCAGCCCTCGCACGAGGCCCAGAACAATGGCTCCGCTCTCGTTAAGGCCCAAATTCCTCCCGAGCCGGATTTCCGCTGGAGCTTCCGCAGCCTCCTGCTCCTTGCCTGTCCCTAGAAGGGAGCCCTGGGGAGATATCACGCTCACACTGCAGGAAACGAGGCTGGCTGCAGAGGCACCGACTGCACTCAGCCCCCCCATCACCTCGCACTGACCCCTCTGGGCAGCCGAAGCAGGGAGCTAGTTCCAGCAACACCTCAGCCAGACCAGCCATCGTCCTGCCTCAGGGTTCAGCCTCAGCTGAGCGGGGGGCAGAGCCCAGGGCTGGGATAACGGGCCTGTGGGTTGAGACAGAGCTGGGGAGGGGGGCCTGTGGATCAGGCTTGGGGGCAGAGTGGGGCGGCACAGGTGGAACATGGGGGAATAGGGCGCTGCAGGGCAGGATGGGGAGGGAAAGAGGCAGGGCTGGGATAACGGGGCCAGCGGGTTGAGAATGAGGGTGGGGCATTGTCAGAGCTATGTGTAGGCAGGGGGGCATCTGTGGGTCAGGATGGCGGGGGGAGAGGCAGGGCTGGGATACAGGGAGCTGTGGGTCAGGATCGAGGCTCATCAGCAGAGCCACTCGCCCAGGCCCCACTAGGCCGGGCCAGGCCCCTCGGTCAGTGAGCCCCAATAGCACATGCTGGTCATGAAGCCTCTTGCGAGGGTCCCCAGCACGCAGAGCTCAGGGTGCCAGTGGAGGACTGGGAGATCACCCTGAGTGGAGGGGGGCTCGTGCTCCCTTCTTCCCTCCCCAGTCTGGGAACGGCGAGTGGCCCCGCAGAGTGTTTGCCTGGGCAGGACTCAGAGCAGGCCCAGCCCCGTTTCCTTGCCCACAATCCTCAAGGTCACCTCAGCGAGGGACATTGGGGACAGGGGCCCGGGAGCTTCCCACACCGTGCCCCAGTCAAAGGGGCGAGTCTGGGACCCTGTCCCCGCCTTCCTGCAACCAGCTCCCAGCCCAGAGCAGCCACCGTCCAACAGAACAGCCTCAACCTCCCGCCACGGAGCACCGGGATCGCGCCCATTCTCCAACTGCCCCCCGAACAACGCTCCAGCAGGGAGCCAACAGCGCAGGCCCACCCTGGCAGGAGGAACCGCGCGGAGCCTGGCAAGCAGGCAAAACCTCCGGCACAAACCAGGGGGACTGGGGGGCGGGAGGGAGCATGCTGGGCAGGGGCAGAGGGAGTCTGTGTACAAGCAGAGGCGAGGTGCCCCACTGGGGGGCAGGGGAGGCTGGAGACGTGGTGTCCGTAGTACTTGGGAACAAGACTCCCTAAGAGTGTCCCAGGTAGGAAGTGGGGGGACAGGTGGGCATAGCACCCTGAAGGGGCAGGAGGGTGCATGGTTCCCCGGGGGCCCTGGGTGCCGAGACCCAGCCTGGGGGGTGCACAGAGGTGTCGGTAGAGGCAGCGCCCCCGGGTGAGGGTACATGTTGTTTCCAGGTGGGTGTGGAAGGCACAGGGAAGTGGCTGGGGAGAGAGGGGGGGTCAGTGCAGCTGGGGGCTCCAGGAAAACACGTGACTGATTTGCCTCGGTGAGAACAAAAGCTTCGCCAAGGGCTCAGCAGGGCTGGGGCACGTCCCTCTGTGCCCAGCACAACACTCCCCACACAGCAGGCACACGGGGCCAGCTGGCTCAGAGGGCGTTTCCCAGCCCTGCCCCCAATCCCCAGGAGGCGGCTGGGACTAGCTACTGTCTACCCCAGCGCGTGGGAGCTGGGGGCTCAGGCCAGGCAGAGCCGCAGGGCGACAGCCAGCGCGTGGGGCTGAACCACCCTCCGTACTGTGCAGGCTCCCGGCCCCCCTGGCTCTCGCTGAAGGGCACCAGCCTCACATGGCCACCACCAACCCGGGGCCCAAAAGGGGAGAGGCTCCTTAGTGGGCTCCGGCCCCACTCGGACCTGGGCCCCGCCCGGCCACACTTCCTCACCTGCTTTTGGTCTGATCAACCCTGGCCTCCAGGAGCAGCGCCTTGAACCTCCGGACCACCAGGCAGGCGACGGCAACGCCCAGCAGGGCCACGGTCAGCAGCACCCCACCGGCCACGCCCAGCAGGCTCTGCTGGGTCACCTTGTAATCGCAGCGTGGGCCCATGAACCAGTAGTCACTGCCAGTGGGGCACCTGCAGCAGCACGGGAGACGGTCAGAGGGGCAGGCTCTGCTCCCCAGCACACGGGCCCCAGGTCCCCCTCTTGCCCATTCACTGCCCCTCATCATCCCTCCACGTCACAGTGCCCAGCCATGCCAGACCCTCGGGGCTCCCCTCCCTGCTGCTGTTGGGGGCCAGCCAGGGAGGACGCAGTCTGGAACACTGGGTGCGCAGGGCATCGGGAGCTGGGCAGAGGGGGG